TCATAAGCCTGAGGTCTCCCTCATCTTCAGCCTGCTGGGTGATCCTGGGAAGGGCCAAGGTCAGGTAGGGCCCTGGAGACCAGGCCCATGGACACGGTGGCTGTGAGGGTTGGGGCCCGGCACCATGGTCTCCTCAGCCATCTGCATGCGGTCACCACTCAGCCTGGGCCCTGCTGGCCACACCACCCGCTGGGGCCTAGGCTGGGGCAGATGGCCTGGCCAGCCAGACTGTTCCCACACTCAGGCAGGCGACATCTAGTGCGTGGCCATGCTTAGGAGCTGTGTGACACAGTTGGCAGGGCCGGGACAGGGGCCACCATGCCCTTTGTGCCCCCACGCTAGGGTCCCAACCTGACTGAGCTGGACCCAGTGCCGCATGCCGGGCAGGGCGTCAGCTGCAAGCCTGTCCTTGCCACCTGCTCTGCACTCTCGTCCGTGGCCTGGGGTCCTGGCCCGCACAGTGACCCTTGCCGAGGAGATGAGGGCATGGCAGGGGACGCCTGCTCTCCTCAGACTCTGCAGGAGGAGGGGACACCTGCTCCCCAACAATGGCCATGACACCCCCAGAGCGCCAAAGGGGAACTCACCCGCCAGGGGGCATGCGAAGCCCTGGCCTAGGGCTCTCCCAGCCGCCACACAGCTGGCACTGAGGCCCCGGAAGGGACATTATGGGGCAGGTCGTGGGAGAGTGCCCTCTCACCTGGGTCCCTGTGACCTGTGAGACTGCCAGTGCTACCCTCATGGGCCAGAGGTCCCCGTAAGTCACAGGACGGTGTCCCTGCCAGCACCACGGGGCCAAGCTGGGCACCTCAGCCTGTCCACACACCTGGAGCTTACCTTGCTCCAACCAGGAGGGACAGTCATCAGGTCCCACAGGTGGCCTGGCCAGCCCACCTTTGGGACCCTGGCGCACACAGGGCCCCGGGAGGCCCCTGCTGCACCTCTATAACCCCAAAACCCCGAGTGCTCCCTGAGGCCAAATCCTGCGAGAGGCTCCTGTGGGTGGCAGGAGCTGGCACAGGGCTCCTGTCCCCTTGGGGAGGTGGGTGGGCACCAGTGGCTCTGAGAGCCAAGCCAGGCCCAGCCAGGATTGCCCAGGGCACCTGCCACGCGACCAGCCAGGTCGCTGGCGCCAGAGGGCCCAGGAGTGGAGACCGCAAGCAACGGGCCCAGGGCACTGGGGGACCCCAGCTTCTCACTGAGGAGCAGCCGGCGAGAGGTCGGAGGAGCCTGTGACTTCCACCTTCGGCCAGGTGGCAGAGAACTGTGACAAAACCAGACAACACATGAAGCAACAGCTTCAAGCACTGGGCACAGGCCACAGGGACTGTGTTGAAATCCAGCACCTTTTTGTGAGACAGCAAAACCCAGCATTTGGCGATGGACCGTTCAGAGTTCAGCACTGAAATAACCTAGAATTTTACACCTAGTAAAACTGACTTTCACAAGTGAATATAAATATTTTTTTCCATCAGGCGGAATGGGCTGGTGCCGCGCTGGGGCGTGGGCGTGCGGCGTGGGGCGGGGTGTCCTGTTCCAGGGCTGGAGGCAGACATTCAGGTTTGCACCAAAAAGGAAGGTGCTAGAAATTACAAATATGGAGGCAAAATTCTTTCATGTTTAGTTTCCTCAACACTATTTTTACGAATCTGTACATATGGACAGATAGCAATCGCACAAGGAACAGAGGGAAGACGGAAGTGAGCCTCGTGGGCGCCTCGCCCACCGCAGGTGCTGCTCTGAGGCAGGCCGTGCCGCGCGCCAAGCCTACAGCGGCCACCGCGGGACGGGACGGCCGGGGCGGGGGGCGGGGGGCACCTACCCGGACGCTCGGCCGGCGGCGGGCAGTCTCCGCGGCTCCTCTCCGGCTGCGGCGGCCACGGGCACCGAGGCTGCTTCGGCGGGGGCGATGGCGGCGAGTCCCTGTGGCGACCGCCTCTGCCGCACCGCATCCCTCCTCCCGGTCCGCCCTGTTTCCCCGACTCCTGCGCCTGAACTTCTTCCCCGGGATAAACAAACCCGCTGCCAGGGCGGCCCCCCGCCGCTCC